CGGCGGTGAAAAAATCGAGCTTTGACAAACGGTCACAGGTGAAAGGCGTAATTTCGAAATTCTTGGCGACAAAGGAAACAAAAGACGAGGAAGTCTGGACGAGTTGAGACCGGACGCAACGGTGCGTGGCAGGGGGATAGGTCAGGATAGGATAGGCCGGTATGGTATAGCATGGGATGGAATAGGATTGGATAGGATTGGACAAGAGAGGAGAGAACGCGTTACACTCGGACAATGCGGTCGCGAATCTCTATTTCCGTTTATCGCGCAAACGAGACAAATTAATTAAAGTTATACACGGCAGAGTAGCAACGCGACGGCGGCGTATTAAAATAACGGTCGCTTTGGTGAACAGCCAGCACTTTACTATAATTGAAGAGAATTAAACCGACGCAGATTCTCCGGGACGCGGTATAAACCGATTTAATATTTCATTTAAGCTTTGTCAACGTTTATGGGAAGATGGTATCCGAGCGGAGCTAGTATCCGGCATCGAGACTCGGGCGTCGCGCGAGTCCTAGAACGGAAGTCGGCTCGAAGAAGGGTGGTGACGAAGAAGGAAATTCTGAAAGACAGCGAAGCGCGAAAGACGGAGATGGGATACAGGACGCATCGGGAATCGTGAAATTATATTTTGCGCAGTCCTCGGCCGTAAAGACACAGAGGGGAGGTGGTTCTCGGGGCTCGTTGCACGGCGAAGGAAAAGCGCGAGAGGGCAGTTAACGCTTCGTCAACACTCGTAAAATTTCCAGCACTAAAGCTACGCGAGACTTGACGAGCAGGGCTCGAAGTTCGAAACAAGCCCGGAGCTACTGCTGCCGTTACGCCGTGCCGCTTCTTAACACCTGCCTTGGGATTCTCCCCGTGCCTCCCTTCTTTCGGCCCACCTCCTTATCGTCCTTTCTTCTCCACGCTCCCTACGCCTTACGCTTCGCCATTCGCCTCTTATACTCTGCATCTCGGCTATTTCCCTCTTAATTCCGACGTAATATCCCGATCGTTTGGAAACTTCCGCAATTCGTTCGTAACGATAACGTAGGAACGCGTGAGGGAAAAGGAAGAGGGAAGAGTGGAAATCGTGGTAACGGTCGTAGGCTGCACGCACGCGAGCAAACGCGAAACGAACCGCGTCGTTTATGAATTCTCCGAGTGGTTTTCAAGGAGCGAGCGTAAAAACGCGAGTCGCGGCAACGACGCGATAGTTTTTAAGTAGGTAGATGCAAAGGAAGGAAAGGTTTATCGTTTGGCCTCGATGTCGATGAAATATGTCGGTTGGTTCGAAGTTGGCGGAGTTTCGCGAAGAGGAAAAGGAAGGAAATTGGGAGGTGGCCAAAAATAAGCCGATTCGTCGTGGTCTCGATGGACGAGCAACGAAATCGAGATCGAAGCGTCTCTCGCGTTTAATCCTCTCCGCGACGAGACAACGAACGCGGGTTCGCGCTCGATTAAAACCTCGCCCCATCGCGCGGTAAATAGAAGGACAAAAAGAGGAGGTGGAAACGTCAACGGGTAATTCGATTTCCTTTCCGGCGCGACGCATTCGCCAGACGGCGCGCGACTCCCTCGAATCCTCGCGAAAGACGTTTCATGCCCGCATAATCTTCTCGTCTGCCGTCATTCTCTCTTTATATTTGCGAAGCGAGATTTTGACGTTAATGCGCCGCACTCGCAAACCTCGAGCGAAACCCGAAATAGAGAAACGTTTGCCATGACGGAGAAGGAGAAGAAACGGGAAACGCGTCGCTTTTGCCGACGTTTCGCGTTTCCAGCTTGGAGTCGACGAGGGTGGCGGAGAAAAGGAGACACGGCGCGCGCGGTTTCGTTGCAACGACTGTAGCTGCGGGAGAAACGAAACGGTTCATAAAATCAATGGCACTCGACGCTTAATGCGAAAATTAATTCGCGATAGCGTATATCTCTGTCGGAAAGAACGTTCGGACTGGAAACGGTACGAAACAAGCGCGCGCGACAGGCTCGGCTTTGAAACCGTGGCTCCAATGTAAACATATTTTCTGTTTGTATTTTGACCGAATCCAACGTGCACCGTTGGAAAAGCATCGACTGCGAGCCATTACCTCGCCCCCCCCCCCCCCCCCTCCCCTTCCCCTTTTCGTTCCACTTCAACCGACCTCTCTCGCCTGAATATTTTCCGATAATTATAATTGACTTTTTTACGCGGTCGATGTGCTACCGCGACCAAGCATGATTATGAAAGCAATTAAAATGTTCGCGAATTTCGAGGTGTCTCTCGTTTTCTTCTTCGTTCCTTCTTCGTCCCACCTTGCAATCTCCTTACGCCTTGCCTGTCCTGCGAGGAAAGAGCAAGAAGAAAATAGCGCAGCCCGCATCGCGAAGCAAAAAGCCTCCGTATATACCCTCGAGGTAAACATATTTTCCATTTGCATTCTATCTCGATCGAATCGAACGCGCTCGTCTTTCGAAGTCATCGCCCATATCGGGTTCCATCTGTATTCGTTACCTACCTTCCTACCTACCTACCTAGCGTATCGTCGCCGGAGCAGCAACGGTCAACGCGATACGGAAGGGGATCGTGAACGCGGGGACTAGAGGAAATAGGCGATACCGAATAAACTACGAGTCACTGCGCGTTGCCGCGCGTACATCTCGCGTTTCCTCTCGCGTTCCCTCTCCCGATGTTAAATATAAGGGAAAATATTTCGATATCGGTGGGTAAACACACGCAAATAGTTTCAACGTTTCCGTCGCGTTGCTCTTCCGTCCTCTTTGCACGTTTCGGTACATCGCTCTGATATCTTTCTACATATTTATGTCGAGACGTATTCCCGACGTGTCCGTAACCGTACTTCCGAGAACGAAACCGGAGAAAAATGTTTCTTCCTCGGTCCCTTCCGATAACCGAAACGCGCGTGCTGCCGCGGCCTCGTGGAACAAGCTTCCCCGTTGTCGAAGCACCGCTACGGGGAGCAAAACGGGATCGTCTAGTCTGGATCCGGTGATCCCCGCGCCATGCGTACACCCGAAAAACACTGGCACCCGCGCGATCGGTTCCGGGATCTTTAATTCGCGACGTCGCGTCGGGACAACGTCGACTCGTCGCTCGGCTCGTCGCTCGGCTCGTCGCTCGGCTCGTCGCAGTGTCGCAAGGGTCGACTTTAAACGACTTCGACGAGGGTCGACTCAAAGGGATGCTCAGAAATCTCGTAAAACGGCACGGTAAGATATTCGCGAGGAGACGAGCGTACGGATAGATTTTCATCTTTATTCAATTTCACCTTCTTTACGCGTTGAAAGCCCTTTCACGCGCGCGTCCGCGTTATCGCGACGCAAACCTAGATAGATCGTGTACACTGCTCGAACGTCATCGAGTTTTATCACGAGCCAAGAGGATGCTAACGTTAACGCGCGCGCGATACCTTTCGAGCTCGTTCGTCATCGTATCGATGCCGTACGCTCGCTCGTTCCGCGAATAGAGCAGGCACGCGCCACGCGATCATTCCGGAAACGTTCGAGAACGCTTCTCGATCGATCGCATCGCGTTTCGCGTTAGACGCGTCTCATCACCCACTCGTCCTCTCCGTCCCACTCCTTTTCACCCCCTTTTCACCCCCTTTTCACCCCCCTTCCGCGCCTTGGCCGATATTTCGTCGCGAGAAGGAAGACGATTTCCGACATTCCCGATCCAGGCGATCCAGGCGATCCAGGCGATCCGAGTGTTTTCGCAGCCTCGCTAGCAACGAGCACACCGTGACTGCATGGGATAACGATACGACCACGCGTTCCTTCCTGGTCAACTTGCTGGAAATTGTAGATGAGGCTCGATTACGTATTCCGATCGTACGCGATATCAAACTGCCTGGCTTCTCGCTCGTGATGGAGTGTTCTCTACCCTCGACCCCTCGTTCCCTTTCTCTCTCTCTCTCTCTCTCTCTCTCTCGCTCCGACTCACGACTAGCCCGTGTAGCTTCCACCGAAGTGGTCACCGAAGTCACGTTTGCGACGAAACCTTACAAATCCATACGGCTGACAGACTCGTAGAAAAATGTGGGTATGAAACGGCCCCTCGACCACCGACGATTCATTTCGCCGGAAAACAGGATCGTTCCCTAGGAACGGGGACGTTTCTCGCGTCTTCTTCCTTCCATCCGAACGGACTCCGGGACAATCGTTAATTACCAACGTTGATTATCATCGCGTGCTTCGACGAATCGTCGATGTCGAAGGGATGGAAAACAAGCACGTTGATCCGTCGTGTTTACTTTGCAAACGTGTGAGGGTTGGCGTGACGAAAGAAGGGAGTCGAGAGTTGCGAGCGGAGCAACGTGGGACGAGCAAGGGAGGGGTGGTACCGGAGAGATCCAAGGGGCCTGAATTATACCGAAGGAGTGACGTCTACGGAGATAATCACACGCCTCGTAACAGCCAGTTCATCATCGTGGTATCGTGCTAAGGGGCTTGATGCATCATGGAAATCGTGCACGAACCGGCCAGGTCGAACGGAAAGTGGAATAGGCGGCCTTTGTAACGGGGCCTTCGAACGGATTCTTTCTCCTCTCTCACTCTCTCCGTCTTTTCGCGCGTATCCTCCACCGGCTATCGACTCAATTAGCCTGGAGAAAGGGGGAACCGAAGAACGCGGGGCTCGAACGAAATATCGCCGAGTTTACCGTCTCTCGTCTCCACGCGTCCTCGTAACGATTTTCCTATCCGCGAACTTTGTCGAAACTTCGTAGCGGCAGCTGATCGGGGCAAAACTCGGCGATGTATCGGGAGAAAAATAGTTGGCAGAGCGGATAAGCGAAGGAAAATCGATGAAAACGCAAGGACGACGCGATGCATGGACGATGAAAAACGTGGATCGCGGAAAACGTACGTCTCTTTGACACACGCTCGTGTTCCCACCCCTCCGTTCTTTTACGTTTCGAACTGATCCCTTTGATGTCACCTTTAAAAATTGTTAACGAACGGAGTTAAAGTCGGTCGGCGAGGTACGAAAATAACGGTCGCTTTGTGTTTTACAGGGTCGCTGCAAATCACCGGATCCGAAGTGAACGACCAAGGAAACTACGAGTGCGTGGCGAATAATTCCGTCGGTACCGAGTATTCGAAGACGGCCTCGCTCTACGTAAAAGGTACGTCGCGCGTCCACCCTGTATCTTTTCGGCCAAATTTGAAGAAACGAGTTCTTATCGTTATCCGACGTTTTAACCCAAATTCGTTGCAAAAACGTAGCGCGAGCATAGCGCCGTTAAACCCAGTCGTTTCCCGGTTTGCAATTAAAATTAATGCTACGTAATTAAAGCGTAATTAAACTAAGCTGACGGCACAAAGGATTCGCGCGCTTGGAATCGCGTGGCAAATATTATGATGCGGCGACGAGGCATTTCTTGCGGTGGTACGCGTCTCTGTCCCTCGACGTTCAAGTATCGCGTAATCAAATACTCCACTCCCGGTTTTGAGACACGTGTCCGTTAATTGCCACGGGAATCGTATACATCGAAATGGTGGTTGCCGTTGTTAATGAAAAATTGTTTGCACGCAGTTCGCCGCGTTGCGCCCACCTTCTCGATTCCTCCGCCGGCAGTGAGCGAAGTAACGAAGGGCGCGTCTTTGAATCTGTCCTGTGTCGCTGTCGGCTCCCCGATGCCCTACGTGAAATGGAAAAAGGGTGCATCCTTCGACCTCACGCCGGACGACAAATTGCCAGTTGGGAAAAACGTGTTGGTGCTCACCGACATCGAGGAGTCTGCCAACTACACTTGCACAGCCGCCAGCGATCTCGGAGTCATAGAAGTCACGTCGATGGTGAAAGTTCAATGTTCGTATGCCATTCTATCGCATCGCACCGTGTCGCGTCGCGTCGCGTCGCATCCTATCGTATCGTATCGTATCGTATCGTATCAAACCGTAGCATACCGTACCGTACCGTACCGTACCGTACCGTATCCTACAGTATCGAGATGGATCGAAATCGCGCGTAAATCCTCGGAGATCGCGGTACCGACCTATCGGACTACGTAACGTAAAACGATCAATCACTCGATCACTGTGCGTGTTTGCGCGCGTGTGTACGACCGTGCTCGTTCCATCCGAGCTACACAGCGAACCGTGGCGGCGGGGTACAGTTTCCATGACTAATCAATCGGCTTATGCGTGGCGTTCAAAGACCGAGAGAGGACGCTGGTACTTTACGGGAATAACCGAAACGAGGAAACGCGAGAAAACGCGATTTTCTCCGTTGCTCGCGCCAACGAACGAAAGCTAATAAAACGTAACGATGAATTTTAGCTCTGCCCAGTCCTCCGGAGAACGTTCAAGTATCCGACATCACCGCTACCTCCGTGAAGCTCACTTGGTTCTACAAAGATTCGGACGATCTGCAATACTACGTGATTCAACACAAACCGAAACGCGTGAATCAAGCGTACGCCGAAATATCTGGCATCACGACCATGTACTATAACGTCCGGAGTCTGAGTCCTTACACCGAGTACGAGCTTTACGTGATAGCCGTGAACTCCATTGGGCGTGGTACCCCAAGTGCCCCGGTGACAGTCACCACTGGAGAAACGAGTCAGTATTCTTTTTCTTCGCTATCTCTTTCTCTCGTGCTCATCGTCGTCGTCGTCATCGTTGTCGTCGTCGTCGTCGTCGTCGTCGTCGTCGTTTTCTCGTTCGTACGTTGCATTCGCGACGATCGGCGCCGCGTCTCTCGTCGACGCGGCTGTGCTGACGAATCTTTTTGAAAGCGTCATTGCTAAATCGTCGAGATACGAATCGTCGAAACCGCGTTTTGCTGATCATCGAAACGAACGCGGGAAACTTTCCTCGGCCGATTGCCGCGTTCCGATGGCGTGCACCTTGCAAAAACGTGCCACCACCGAGGTGTGTCGCTCTCGGTCGATGAAAAGTAGAGAAATAGCAACAACGCGGAGGTTTTTTTTTTTTTCCTCCGTTTACATAGCGGAAGAATACGGCTTATTAATCCGGCGAGCGCGTGCGAATTTTTGCACATAGATAATGTTTTTGCACCGCAAATGGAGGAACAAGTTTTGACACGGTTTTTGAGGGAAATTATACTTTTTTTCCATGCTGTCCGCCGTGGACACACGATTTGATTCATGTAAGTGACAAGACATTTTTTTCACCTATCACCAATCCTCTTTCTCTGTGTCGCACCATGTGTTAGTGTTTTTGTCGGATCGTATTCGGCGCGTCGCGCTTCGACGTCTCTCGTTTCGCTCTGCATTTTTCCTTCCCTGCCTCTCCCCATAACTCCCAACCCCTTCGTTCTCTCTCTCTCTCTCTCTATCTCTCTCTTTCTCTCACTCACTC